ACATATGTAGATATACAATAAACATACATTTATGATGAATAGCGAATACCCCCCCCCCTCAAAAAAAACTAGTGACATTCAGTGATTATTTGTTACTTCATTTACAGAATAAAAATATGATAGTTTACAGGGAAAACAAAGAAAATAAAATTCTGAGTAGTTTCAACCTCATAAACTAAGAAGTTAGTGAACTTGTATTAATCCATACAAAATGATAGAAAGGCTTAAAATATACAAATCAGACTAGATACTTTATGGCATCATTTGTTCATTAAAAGTATCGTGATAAAAGGCGGTATCAGAACATATTTAGGTGTAAATGTGTTCGTTACATACTTGTACACACATATACACATAATGAATGATTGAATAGTACCGAAAAGTAAGGATCTTGTATTTGCACACACAAATCCATGTGCCTAATTAATGTTTTATCTTTCGTCTATTTTCATTCCATGTGCCCCAAAGTTTCAGACGAGTGTATCAAACACAGACTGGGATTTGAAGTGAAACCTGGAAATAAAAAATAAGCACTGTTAATAAGATTTGATTTAAATGTCTTTTGTGTATTTAACTCATTCACTTTGATTCGTTTTTCGTCAGAATTCTTCAAATTCTTTTGAACAATAATCTGTTTTAGATATTCGAAGTGGTTCCTCCTCATAATCATCGAAATTACTTGTGTCACCGGGCCCTTTACATGGCGGTAAGAATGGGGCACATATCTGAAAACGTTAGAAAACAAAGTTTTTAAAATATGTGCGTTATCATCATAAAAACTGTAATCATAATGATAGTTATAATGATAAAATAAGTCGGGATGATTCTGTGAATCGATCACGAAGTTACAAGGTAGTTTTAGGGCATCAGTTTCCAAAATTAGTTGATTATTTTTGCTAAGCGTAAGTATGCTCAGGTAACAAAGTGAGACAGAAAATTAAATGCATTATTTCTGGTTCAGATTATTAAACAGCTCTTTGAAGAGACATGTGGAATAATACTTTAGGAAAAAGTGTATTCCGCTAACAATTTATAACTATATGGCGGTGACATTAGTTCAGACTTATCCACTAGTTAATTTTAGCTGCTTTTATTATTTAACTGTGGCTAAAATGTACTGAGCCATTGTGTCACTTAGCCTAGTGGTATTATCGAACTACTTGATTCCTTAAATGTACGATTTTTCCCCTTTAGAAATTATAATAAACCTACAATTTACGATGATGTCTTATGGAGTTTTGTTTAATTTGAAAATTATTTCTGTCATAAACTGATATAAGGGTAAAAACTACTGAAGACCATGTAGCTGCAGGCAGTTCTCTCTCTGTAATTTCGAGCTTCCTAACAATGGGCGATTATGACCCTTATTTCAGGGTTCCTAGGCAATAAGGACCCACGATACCAACAGTGGTCACATTCATGTCCTCCAGGTTTAAAGACAATTGTCTTAATCATTTATCTTTAAATCAAATTCCACTGACGAATATTTTCAAACATATCGGTGAAAATAACATGCTTCATAATCTACACACTGTAATCCGTTTCTTGAAGTAATAGTTTATAAGACCAGTAGATAATACCTTTGCATATGGCACTTTTTACGTTGTTGGAAATGAAAAGGAAGCCACATACAAAGGCGAACTAATAATAAATTTATACACCATAATATCTATACCTCCATAGTCTTAAATAAAAGCACTAAGTGTTGTACATAGATTATAAAACGGCAAGAATTTTGTCTATTCTTTAGTAGATTTAGGGTTGTTTTAAATAAAAATAAATAAAATAATATGGTTTCTAAGATAATTATACTCAAAAAAATATTAGTAGTTGCCATTCAATTCATTTTCATTTAGATTGAAATGATTTCTAGGAAGGAAGACAGTAAGTTTAAAATCACTTAACATTGTGTATGAATTGTCTCCAAAATATCAAGCAAAAGAATGGTTGTGAGATTATTAGAAATTTTACTGACTACTATAAAGTCATACAATATTACACATTTTATTTCGGATAAATGGTTAAATTTAAATTTATTTAATGCTCACTAATGGGAAAGGATCGATTTACCTCCGATATCAGAGCTTTCTATTAATAGTAGGTTGGCTTTGAATAAAAAATTCCAGTGAAAAAGGTATTCGGCGTAATCATTTTGATATAAGTGTTAGTTAGTGATCTGAAGAAGTAAAGAGGCTGAAAATGTTTTTTTGAGGATCAGTGTATAGTTATTTCAAGCCTCCTGTTCTTAGCACTATTGAGGATTCCCATGTGAGGACTAAACAGCTGTTTGTTCTTTTCGGTTTACAGTAATGGTCTAGCTAAGATTAATTCTTAGTTTAAATTATAAAAGTTCTACAATCTCCATTAGCTTGGTTATACTAACAAGAATCATCTCTCTATATGGGTCGCTAATTATAATATCAATCAGAAGAGACGCAATCGATAAACAAAATTAGTTATTCCAATCCACCACTATTGTAAAACTTTGATTGATGTAAATAAAGTTAAATCACATTGAACACTCCATAAAATTAAAATTAAACACGTAATGGACTATCTTATTAAGATACTTTGACAAGACCGGTAACCTTCTGTGATAACTGGTTACACATCTGTCTTGACATCTTATTATAATAATTTATGGATCGATTCTAAATGTCAAAATAGAACTTGACTATGATTGTAGATTCGAAATACATTGTGTTCGATTCACATCCGTCAATTCAATCAAATCAGTGAAATACATGGCACTATATGACAAGCATGAATCAATTTCTTATTATGAACATTCACTAAGTTTAACCAAAGCTTTTAGGTCATACCATTACCATTTGCTTTAACTAATATCAGTTCTTCATTGAGATCATGGACCGATTGATGTTAGACCACCATTGAAAACCTGGAAGCACTGGATGGCCGTTTCGTCCTATTGTGTGACTCTTCAGCAGTGCGCATCCACGGTCCCGCCACCTCTCGTGATTCCAACCCAGAGCCTTCAATCTCGCGCGCGAACGCTTAACCTACTGAACCACTGAGCCGGCATCCAATGGTGTTAATGTCTGACGTCAACCAATCCACGAAATTGCGCGATCATCTTCCATTGTACTGAGGTAGATACTTGTCAATGGTGGTCTAACATCAGTCGGTTCATGATCTCAATCAAAACCTTAATAATCTCCACAACCCATATATCCATACTAATATCAGTTCTCTATGTCAAACAATCTTAATTCATCTTTTAATGCTGAACTGATTTTACAGATACTGTTCGTCATGGAAAACTGTACGGGTTGTGCACATAACCACCAAAGGTACGAAATGTATGTTGTAGTACAAAAGTGTTAGCAAAAGGAATAATGAATACCCACTTCTTTTTGATAAACTGCAACCCAATTAGTTGGCCGGAACCATTTATGACATTTGATATCATCGACACCATTTTTTAAATTACCGTAACGTTTTGTTAAATCTGTTTGTAACAATTGTTTAAGAAGATTTTTCAGATCACTACTAACATGTCCGGGAAATCTCACCTAATAAAAGTACGAAACACAAAGAAATTAAATTAATTATAAATGAATAAATAATAAGTTATACATTAATTTGGGGTTGAATAATATAGATTTGTTAAAGAAATGTTTATTTGTTTCTCAAGGCTAGTCAATCATCTAATCAGCATTCATCTAACTACTTAATAATTTAGTAACTATGCGGTACCAATACTTATTTGTTATTTTGGCGTCTTCTGCAAAACTGGTTTTGTACCAGTATCTGAATTTGTTCTGTTAGAAGTATGTGTCTTCTCAAACTATCCCAGACAAAAAAATAACTGGAAAGGTAATGACTGAATGAATTTGTGCTTAGCATAGCTGAGAATACAGATACTAATTAACTGAACTACTCTGTATGTTTGACTATGCTAATCGATGCTCAATAACGATATCAGCCATAGTCATTTTATATTTTATATTAAGCCAAAATGCAAAATGCTAATTATTAAGTATCAACTTGGTGACTTGTTTGTACCATGACTACCACTAATATCTCAAAAGTTGTAGGCTTGTCTCTGTATGAATCTGAAAGTGAGCTCTTAATAAATGAATAGAAAATAGGAAAAGTCTATATGCATTTTTAACCAGTAGACAAATTCAATGATGATCAATTATATCTAATTAGTAGATCATATAAGCCAACTTTTTTTGAATTATATTAATTATAATGATAGCTGATAAACCATTGTTACAGTAGTTTGTGAAAATATCAGAAATGAAAATAAGATGTGCAAGTGTCAGGACATAGACAAATCAAGCTATCTTAGTTTTTACGGATTCTAATTATATTCATGATATGGCGTGAAGAAGCTTTTGGGGAAAATGGATGCTGAACAAAAAATTATCAATTTCCACATGTTTGTTTGATTACTTATTATTGTTTTTATTGTGATTGTTATTTTCAAAACTGAAATGTCACAACCTTCATAATGCATTAAGACGATAAGAAGTAAACAATGATAGACTGTTTATCTCTCAGGATAAACATTGCACTTTGAAGAAACAACCATGTTTATATACAGAAGCAGAATAATCATATTCTAAAACACAAGTCACATATGCCAACGTATACCGTCATATGATGGAGTTGTGTATATCATTATTCACAAACCACATGTAAATCGCATTAAAATACGCTTCGGTTGAAATCCTTGACGTAATTATCATGTTTGTAAGTCAATATACAGCTTATTATGAAAAAAATTATAAACAATCGTGTTTGGAATAAATCAATGCTTAGCAGTGAATTCATATGTGTTAAGAAATCATCGAAAAGCATGTCAATATTTATATTGCCTACTGACCGTTATCTAGGGAACGTTCAAGTATTAAGAGTACTTTATTGTATTTTCAAACATCTTCGATGCGATTTAAGCCCTTTTTTATACACAAGCAGTTTTTTAAATTTGTAGAGACTTATTGAAGTGAGACCATAATTTATGGACGACGTTTAAGCGACGCTAAACTGACCTTGAGAGTGTCTATCTAATAACTAGGATCAAAAGAGGGTTATAAACCAGTGTGGGGAATTAGAATTATGATTTACAGTTGATGGTTGAGGTTAGGTATTAGATCTAGGGTTTTCATCACAAACTGACATCAGCTATATTGCCAAAACTCTATTTAGCCAAATGAATGGGTGAATTTCGCGGCAAAATTCGAGACGTGATTTTATATTTAATTGGTCCATCCATAAATTATAGTCTTGCTATTATTGGTCATCCGAGTGACGATAGAAAGAATGTGATACTTTATTCTGAAGTTATTAGAAAGTGTTAGTGACAAACACAGTAGACTTACTTTACCAGCAACAATTTTCTCATAAATTTCTATAGGTTGATCTGCGAAAAATGGTGGATATCCACAAGCCATTTCATAGATCAAAATACCGAGTGCCCACCAATCCACAGCTTTATTGTAGCCCTAGAGTTTCATTTATCGATTTATTCATAAATAAAGCAGTAGAAAAATGGAAGAACTCGTCAAAAAATTACATTATAAATCGAAATTCAGAACCACGAATTTCGGTGCTTGAAATATAGTGTTTTGGAGAACCATTCAATGTTCCTTCTTAAACTAATCATCTCTGTTTGTAAACCTTGTGTTATCTATATGACCACTGAATTTAGATTTTGAACGGTTAATTATAGCACAAAAATACTCATTTAAACATGTATTTCCTTAAACATTCGGTAAATAGATGAGTATGGAATAAATAATGAACTGTGTTAATAGCGGTTCTACTAATTAGCATGAATTTCTGTCATTTATATGTTACTAAAAGATACTTATTTAAGTTAAAGATTCCCATTGCTTATATGTGTTGTTCTAATTATTTAAGTTAACTGTAAAAGTTTGCAAGAGTTTCTTTCGTTTTACTTGTATTGATAATTTTATGCTTCAGGTTGTATTTTTTGCAAATAAACTTAAGGGATGTGCATCAAGGTTTATTTCAATATATTTTAAACAGTTTTAGCTTGCGTGCATACGTGCATTCTGTGTGAATTGCTTCGGAATTGCCTTAAGTCCAACTGAAGAGTCCCAAATTGGATGAAACGCGCATCCTTCATTCCACTGCTAACCAACATACATTTCTACATACAATGGATTTTATTGACTTTTGAAGTAAATTTTATATTCAAATGGCATAAAAAGCGCATTATTGTACTAGACACCTTTGTCGACCTATAAATTAATACCACCACAATCATTTTTTAAATGCCATAAGTAATCTTCGGTTGTTTTAATGCCTGTATCCCTGGTAATATCCCTTGGCTGATTAATTTAATAGCCAATTTATCAAACACATATTACTATAATTCATGAATATATTCGACGTAAACCTGTCTTGTTATATGAAACCTCTAGACCTTCAACGGAGGTTAATAAATAGGTTTTTTGCTCAAAGTTGTATGAAAGGATATACCTTTTTACAAGCGGAACAAATCAAGCTATAGCCACCATAATTACAAACGTTCTTAAGATTTTTTTTGTTAGAATATGTTACACCGGAGTGTACTACTTTGTTATACTTAAGGTATGAACATAACATCAACCTTAATCAAGGCTAATTGGCTAACATTCGTGTTACAACATGTTAACAACAGTCAAAACGAAATATAAAGTTACAGAAAATGCAACAATAGAAGTATTTGGTTTGTTCCATTCCCTTTCATAGTTTCCCAATATTTATAGTATACATTTCTTAAAGGTCAGATAATATGATGGTCGTTACTTTGATCATTTATCACATTTTATGATTATGATAATCAAGAATGTTTATGGTTATCGCTGTTATTAGTTTTCAGTATTTTGTAGAGTTAGCAGAATGTTTTCTTTTAACTGTTTAAAATTGGTTCCGACGTGATAATTCTTAATGAACATAATACTACCGAAAAAAGATAATTCCAACTCCAGTATGCCTTATGATTAGCATCTAAAGCATTCAATTTCATTACTTTTTATTTCAAAAAATAAGACCTAACAAGCTTAAACAAAGGAAGAACGATAGTCTCTTCAGGATTGGTAATCGCGTTGGGAACAAGTGATATTGTAGTTAGTCTATAACTATCCTTTGGTGATCACTCAGTATCAACGACTAGGGATAAAAGAGTGTAGGTACTTTAAACTACAACAATGAGAATGAGATAATAATCAGATAGGACATCTTACAAGAAACGTAATATTAACTTCATAAGGCATATCTACGTTCATGAAGCAGCTGACACTTTCTGGTATGCCTGATTAATTAGAGCAATAAGCAAATTGGGTCGCGACAACCAGATTTTGGTTAGTGTTTTATTGTGTTGCATTTTATATAACTTAGGTAACTTTATCGCAGTTACAATCCCATGTACATTATAAATAATACTCACTTTGCTTAGAATAATTTCGGGGGCAAGATATTCTGGTGTTCCACATAATGTCCATGTTCGTCCTTTGATTTTTTTGGCAAATCCAAAGTCGGTAACCTAATGAAAATAGAAGAAAAGTACCTATTATGTATATTTGTAATGAACAAACTCTTAATGTACTAAAAGATTTACTTCACTTTTTAAATGGCTTTTAAAAATTTGAAGATAGCCTTTAACGTTTGAATAGGCTGACAAAAAATTACCAATGACTACATTGAAAGAAGTCGATGTTTGGCAATGAGATCAGAATTTTAGGAAAACTACCTACATTCATTAATTGATATCCTGTTTGTCATTGGTAGTAATACAACGGAACATTTCACGTTAAATCAAAATATAAACTTTACATTACTCAGTAGGTCATTTAAAATGAATAACTCATTGTATATTGATGATGATGTTTATTACTAATTGAAGTCAACTTAGGAACTGAGAATTCTAGTTTGAAGTTTTTTTCACCAGTATGTAACAACCAATGATAGAAAGTAATCTTTATTCAATGTTATGAATAAATTATTGTTTCATTTATGACTTGATTGTCTACTCAAGTTATATTTTCTCCTTAAAATGTCGTAGAAATATTTTTTGAAGTTTTTGATTGAGATCATGAATTGATTGATGTTAAACCACCATTGGAAACATGGAAGTACTGGACCGCCGTCTTGTCCTATTATGTGACTCCTCAGCAGTGCGTAACAACGATCCCGCGAACAGGATCGATTCATGATCTCAATCAGAAAATTAATAATCTCCACAATCATATACTGATATTTTGAAGTATTTAATGAATACTTGGTTATTAGTTTATTCAACTAGAAATCGAGTGGTGAAAAGAGAAAAAACAGCTCACTATTTATAAAAAAGTAATAGTGATATCTAAATAATTCTATTGGATACACTGATACATATATATTTGGAAATTATCTAATAAATTTGAAAGGATAATGTTAATTAGATTAGATATGTTGAAGGAATGAACTTATTCTATCATGTTTCTTTGTCATTCACGTTGCTTTATGCTGAGAAAAAAAGTAACTACAGTGTGTTTATATCAGGATAAACTAATTTATCAGTGCACCTGGTTTGTTAAATAGTCAAAATAACCAACAACATATTTGTCTTATAACATTTAAACTAATGTCTATATTCAGAATTCAATGTATTTTCTAATGGTTAATAATAAATAAAAAAGTAACAGGGTTGTTTTTCTTTTAAAGGGAAAAGAAGTTAAATCAATCAAATATATTCAGTCAAATCTGCATATTAATCAGGATAACATTGCTTGATGTAGATTATCTTATCAAAGTACATTTATGGGAGATGACTTCAGAATATATAGAGGTTTCGATCTGAAAAACAAAACATGAACTTGACTGTATGACTATATGAGAATCCACTAACCTAGAATGATTTTTTTATAAAATGGACACAAAAAAATTGAGGAATCAGTTCATACACTTTAAAAAGGAACAATAAGCGTAACAGATAAATATGTTAAAATCAAGGCCTTATTAACATTTCAGTGAAATACTTTTTGCTATGCTGAAGGTTCATCCAACAGATCTAATAAAGGGGTATTGAGAATGTATTTAGAACTTATTGATGACAAAGGTAACTTGAGAATAATATGTAACATGTAAAATGTAACAATTTTAATAGTTCAAACAATCTCCATTCATTAATGTGGATAATTGGAGAATATCATACCTACTATATCCAAACACATCTATAAGATGAGATTTGAACAAAGAACTGTTGCTTTAAATATTGGATAAATATCTAATCTTCCCTATTGAAAGTTAAATATTTTAATCTCTTTCTACAACTTTAGTATATGTTAAGAGATAATCTTAAAGAAAAGTTCCGTTAGCTAAACGATGATGTCGATAATAACATAACTTATTAGTCCCTTTCATCTAAGGGTGATGATTTCAAAGGTAATTCACAGAAAGTAGATAAACCAAAATCATCTAAATGCTTATTTATACCAAAACTTCGTGAAGTACTGGAATCTATACTGAAGCATGTACTCACTTGGTATTGTTTGGCTTGTATCATCCCATTGAGGTTTAAGACTGCTATCGATCAGTCTCTTATTGGCATATGTGCATACTGTGCGTATGCCTCGATATTACCTTAATTCACAAGCTATTTGTAAGCAATGATGGATAGTGGCCAGCAGTGGAATCCAGTTTGACGCGCGTTTCGTCCTATTTGGGGCACGTCAGCTGGATGTACCTGCATCTCAAAGAGTCGATGTTCACTCTGAGACTCGAACCCAGTACCATTCGCTTCAAACGCCAAACAATACGAAGTGAATTGAAATTCACCCCGTTGCACAAGCAGGTGGCTATCAGGACTCAGTAGCTGAGTGGATAACGCGATGACGTTTGAAACAAACGGTACTGGGTTCGAGTCCCAGAGTGAATACCAACTCTCTGAGATTCAGGTACATCCGACTGACGAGTCCCAAATACGACGAAACGCACGTCCTGGATTACACTGAAGCATGTACTGTTGATACCTTCCTCTGATACGTTAAAGCCTAAATTGTATCTTCAGTTTACTACAAACTGCAGGGGTTTTTATGGGTCTTCTAACCTTATGGAATTGATAATATTTGACTTATTGATTCATTTATTGGAAATGCAGACATTTAGCCAATACTTCAAATATTGAAATATTTGATCATGTTTGTACATTGGACCTAAATAAAAGTCGAACTAATAAATTTTAACTAGTTTTGTTGTTTAATCATACAACTTACTTTTAAATAACCATCACTAGCAATCAATAAATTCTCAGGTTTTAAATCCCTGTAGATTAAATCAAAAGAATGCAGATATTCAAATGCCAGTACAACTTGACTTGCATAGAAACGTGAATCTTCTTCACTAGAATATGAACAGAAATAGAGAAGAACAATTATTTAGTATATTTAATAAGTTCTTTAATAAAAAGAAACTGGACGTATTGTTTGAAGCCCTGTTGAAACAATTTGTCTAACTGATACATAGCATTTCATTGACTTAAACATATTCACAGTTGTACATATCGGATGAAGAGGACCCATTTTATAAGTTGGTGTCATTAGGTGATAGAGGTAAACTTCCTAGTAAAAGTATCAGTTCCTTTAGGGTATGAAATATGTGAGCTAGTATGACATCTGTATTTCTAAGTTTTTATCAATAGCCTCTAACTATTTAACAGTTTACTCCTAAGCAAATTACTACTTAATCAAACTATCTGCTGTGACCATAGTTGGAGCATAAATTTATACATGCAATGTTGATTATTAAGATTGATGATTTAGTTCAAGATATGAGGTGTGATTTATTTTATACTTTGAATAGTTTTGTCGATACAGAAATGTTGTAATTTTGTTGGAATAAGTCGTTTATACAAAGTAAAGTAAAAACTTAGTAGTATTTATAAAGACTCACTACGTCGTGTTGAAATCGGAGAATGACAGTTTTAGGAATTCCTCTAAAATTATGTTGAACTATTGTGTACAAACAACTTGGTCTGTTTTACTGATTGTTCAGCTCAAATGCTAATTAGTTATTATATATACATTCTTATTGTATAACTATTAAGCAGCTAAATTATACATATTTATATTTCTCTTGTCATATGATTTTAGTTGACCTATTAGCTACTATTATACGACTTACAATTCTTAACTTATTTCCGATTTATTCGTTACACTATATCACACTCACATCTACTTTTGTCTTGATCTTGTATAATTGTTATTTTCTGTTTTATGGTATAATACGGTCTGATTTGGTTGTATATGGACTGCGTATGTATGAAATACATGATTCATACAGTGGATGCTGAGATTGCGTTCTGGACTCAACAAGCAGGGCAAGGCAAGAAGAAATATTAAGGACTCAGAGTAGGCTCTAGGCAGCTCGTACCGCTTAACGCGTCATTGGTTTGGCACCAGGCTAAGCTCATATACGTCGGTGTTCTAATCGGCGTTTTAGTCATGTGATAATAAACAGGGTCATAAAGAACATAATTCATGGGTATCTGTCTTTCGATAAAAATGGTTGTTCTTCAATGGCCATGACTTTTTACTAGCAATTATTATTATTATTATTATTTAGACAACTGAATATATACACATTGAGTTGTTAAACTTATTTTCTAAAGATTGTCATAAAGGAAAATAATGGAATGTATTGAACGCTTCTCAAAATTAGTTGGTAACTAGTAATAAAAATGAGCATGTTGAGCAGAAGTACTGACGAATTCACATTTCTAATTTGAGCTATATACAAATGAAAAAAAGTTATTATGTTGCAAAAGCTTTGTATATCTCACCTGAATTTCCCAACTCTTCTTAAATAGGAAAACATTTCACCTCCACTGACAAACTCAAGTACCATATACAAATTTGAATTATCCTTTGATTTGGAATTTTAGCATATAAAAGAAGGTCAAATTTAAACAAATTATAGCTAAATTTAGGTTGAACTTCAATTATGTTAGTCAGTCATCAGGATGGAAAAAGAGAAAAAAATTAAACTTTATATCTTAAGTTCTTTCATTCTAGTTTGTAAGTTTCCTGTAGTTTGCGTCCACAAATGTGGACTTGATGCGAAAAAGAGTTTACAACAAGCTATGAAGCTAGATGCCAAAGTTTTTCAATTTTAACTACAGATATTTTGTCATGTACGGCTATACGTTTCTATTACTAGCTTTGCGTTAGTATTTTACGTTCTAATTGGTTGACTCTTCAGGTCACTGTACTGTATCAGAAACTCTGGAAATCTATTTTAAGGTTAGTCAATAGGGAGCATCAAGTTATTACGTAACAAGATGGTTTTCGATATGAATTATTGAGATGGATGAATACTAGTCATTTGTTCGAGTACGAATCGCACCATATCATAAACGAATTAAATTGAAAATGTTCATCATTGGATTTTACCTTAGTTGCTCAATTGTATTGTGATCACCTCAACATATTAAGGTCTGTGGTTGAATCCTACTAGTGACCATAGAATTGTATTTGTAATGTGATCATAACTATGAAGAAATAGCTGTTCAACAACCCCTTGTTTTTCTGAAGTTCTTCAGTTGTTATGTTTCGTAATAAATAATAATTTTAGATCATACAGAAATATACTGAATCTTAATTAGTTCTGAGACATAATTACATACTACTTTAATATATCTCAATACGAAAAACAATCTGAGTAGTAAGCATGCAGTTATTGGCACTATGTATATATGGATTCACTATTTTTAAGTATTTTTAAACTACATTAAGAATAGTGCCTAGAATGATATAATGACGTTTACGGTTTGCGATCTCAGCTCAAACTACACTTTTAACTTTACAAATATAATGGTCTATATTATGTTCTTTTCAATTTGTCACTGTAATGTTACATTCATGACGATGTTACGTTACTTTTTTTAAATTGCACTTTAATACATTTTGTTTTCAACAATTATGCTTGAATCTATTTTGTGTCATGATGAAAATCATTGGAAAATTGTTGTGTATTTTTTTGGCATCAAAAGCTTGGTAATCAATAAGCATTCTGTTTATTACAAATTAAATGAAAAGTAGCTAGCACTAGCCTAATAAATTAAAGAATGAACATTGTCGCATCATGAATTGCTATGTATTCCAAAAGGTATATTAAATGACAATGCATAGTAATAACGAATTATTTGTTTAGGGAGAGCGTTAATTTTTCGATAACTATTATTAGAAATAAATAATTAAATAACTTAGTATCAGAAGGGGTGTCGTGGAGATTGTGGCAATTTCAATAGTTGAGATCATGAGTCAATTGAAGCTAGACCACCATAAAAAACCTGGAAGCACTGAACTAATTATTACTACACTCTTCTTTTCACACAGGTCAGATCTGGAATGTTTATTAGCAATTGTTATAGTGAAGCAGAGTAAAATTGATATTGGTTATTCGTTAATTATTTGAAGGGATGACTGATATCTATAACATGTCTATTATCTATCACTTGTTTAGAGTATTCATGAAACCTGGTAGAAACTTTTTCCTATCCTTTTAATATATGCTGCTACCGCAGGTACATCTAAATCCATATATTAAACTGAAAGTGATGTTGGAGATGTACCGATCTACCTTTGAATTATCTAACGAACATTCGGTGTTGTATAGAAAAATCAACTTAGTAAGAGGTATATTTCTCCTATCACTTGTTCCTTCAGTATTGTTGAAAGACTATTGAATACGAAGGTTTTTCTTTCCGAAATACTTATACTAAGTTTCTTAAACAGATTTCTGGGTACGTACTTTTGAAAAGCAATAATCTGCACAAGTTCAGTTGGAAGGTACTTGATAGATGGTAAACATACAGTGAATATTAGTCTTTTATTCAAATAATTAACAAACAACCAACATTAATTTTACGTTGGTTCGATAAGATAACTGCTATCAAACGTTTCCGTTCTGATATATGTAAACAGAAGAGGATCATGCATCGCCTCTCCTTACAATTATGACTATGATTGAGATCGAATAACCTTCTTTAATCAACTTTTCTCGCTTTCAACCTCTTTTTATCTCTTACATCTTTTAATCACTGATAACATATTCATTTCATTTTAGTTTTAATTTAAACTCAATAATTATGTAGTTATTAGCTATTTTCATTCTGACTACACATTCATTGTTTCTTAAAGATGTTTATTATTAATGATCACATTACTCCCTGTATTCTGTAGGATTATTTTCTCCAGCATATAAATAAGTATCAACCTTAACTGTGTTTATACATTTTGTGTCCTGTTCTTCATCTCATAACTTTTGTTCCCGTTTCCAACATCCATCTACCACCAAAATGATCACGTTAATCATTCTTTAATATAAACAACTGTTATGTTGTTTGACTCTTATTGTTCTCTAGTTTTACCGATCAGATAACGAATACGATCGTAAATTTTATTGATTCAACAATGAACATGTAGCTAGATATGCCCAGATCATTTTTTATCAGGGTGAAAGTCACGTTCGTTTGAGGGAAAACTCAGGTTGTCATTAAAAGCTAACTAAAAACAGTTAATGAAAATAGTTTGATATCTATGTATCTATGTATCGAGAGTATTATGAAGATTATTACAAAGATTTATTTAGTTTTAAAGTGACATTCACTTTAAACCAAAGTCTATTGGAACAGAATTCAAAATGATATTAAAAAACAACAACTAGGAAATCATGACAGTGTCTATCCACGACTTCATCAGGTTTAAAATCTAATACTTCCTAATTTTACCTATGAATATGACCCATTCAACTGATACGATTTTAATTTTAATTATTTTCTTGTATAGTCCAATCTCTATCCTAATGTCATCAGTCAATGAACAGTAAGTTTAAAAACAACAACAACAACACATATTTACATATTAAACAAAATGTTGATAATTTTATTCATTGTAGCTAATAAGAAATTATTAGTTTGACATTTACTTACTTTAAAACTAAAATCCATACTGACAAGAAAAGGAAAATTGATTGCTTGTAAAATTTTTTTCTCATTCAATGTATGTTCTACTTGTTTGAGTTTGACAACCTGTGACAAATTTCAAAACAACGAAAAATACATTGGAAACTATTAATGCTACTTCACTTGGTATTGTTTTACTTGAAACGTGAGTCCTGGATTGCACTTCTAGCCACTATCCATCTTGGCTTATAATGCTTGTAAATTAAAGCAATATCGAGGAGAAACACACAGTATGTACATATGCCAATAAGAGACTGATCAATTGCAATCCTAAACATCAATGGGAAGATTCAAGTAAAACAATACCAGATGAATTAAACTTCACCCCATTGCACAAGCAAGTGGCTATCAAAACTCAGTAGCTAAGTGGATAACGCGGTGACGTTTGAAGCGAATAATACTGGGCTCAAGTCCCAGAATGAACATCAACTCTGAGATTCAGATACATCCGGCCAACGAGCCCCAAATAGGACGAAACGCACGTCCTGGATTCCACTGCTAGCCACTATCCATCTTTTATTAATGCTACTTCTTGATGTTGTTGATAATGATAACGATATAAGTTGCATATATACTACAGGTTAGTTTAAATGAATTTTCAGTCGATACATAGATCAGTGGTTACAATGTAATGATTAGTCAGAGCTATCTAGGAGAACGAAACTCTCTACCTGAGTATCAATGCTAGTTTGCAACGATCTAAAACTTATAACTTGTTTCTTAACGCCATGAATGATCAGAAACTCATTATGAAGACTTAGTTGATTATTGAACTAATTAGAATAGATGGAGTGACCGAAATGATAACTTGTTTATATAATGCAGCCTCATGTCGAGTACATAACAGAAACCAAATAGAATTGCAGTGAATAAGAAAACGAGTGGGGACAACCAAAATGTATTTGACACGAAATTACAGAGCATTTCACTAGAATCTGAGAACCATATAGTAAATCGTTAATTTGCAAAATATCAACCCATCGTCTCAAACTTGACTGTTTCTTTTGCAAATATCAATCCATTGTCTCATATTTCATTGTTCCTGCATTTTCATACCAATTTTGTTCCGTTGCCGTTCTTTCCTCATCGACCTTCTATTGAAATACATTCTATGCCTGACCACCGTTATATACTACTTGTGTGAATATAAGTAACCTACACCACAAGAATGACCGACTAACTGACTACGTAGATACAGAAAAATATAAGAATTTCATTTGTCATATTTCATAATTACTTAAAATTTATTCATTTGTTGCTTGTTTGATTATTAGATAACGGGACATCATCATGTCATTAATGAACGTCTATATGAATTTAGTGGACAACAAGCATTTGAGTTTTTCGGTAATAATATGTTCCAGTGCCCACAGGGGTGATATACGTAAATTAAGAATCATTATCAATTGAACACTGTTCAGTGATTGATATAAAATTGATAATAATTTCGAAAGATTAATAGTTGAACTCGAGTCGATTGAAGCTAGATAACCATAGAAAACCTGTAAGCACTGAACGGCTGTTTCGTCCTATTCTGGGACTCCTCAGCCATGCGGAGTTGCGATCCTTCCTCGCAAGATTTGAACCCAAGACCTAACAGTCTCGCGCGTGAGCGCTTAACCATTAGATCAGCTTAAATTTATTTTAATTTTTATCAAAACAAAAATTTGATAATCAGTAGAATTGAAACATAGAAGAAAAATAGGTTTAATTACTTTTTGTTTTTCTAGAATTTTCATTGCATAATACATCTGTGTCTTTTTATCTTTCACTAACATGACACGACCAAATGATCCTGTACCAAGTGTTTTTATACGATCGAACTGATTCAAGGTTGCATTACTCTGACAAATGGGAGTTAAAATGCACAAAATAAGAGAGAAAAGAAGTAGGATTATATAACAATGTCCGTGTATTTAATAAAACATATTTCTCTGTGGTTTTAAATAAATTTACAAATTTTAATATGAATCAAAGACAATAAATAACATTGTATATTCAGTTAATAATAATTTTCATTCATGATGGAAATCTGTTCCTAAGTGACATTGTAAACATCATTTCATTTACGTAAAATATGTAAAAGTTATACAATGATGTCAGTGACTTGTGAAATGTAAACGGTGGTACATAGATTTATCTTAAAAATCTGTATTGTATTTGTTTATTTGATAGACCAATCGGTAGACGTTGGTTAATTTAAACATTTAAAGTAAAATAAAGTATAAGATATGGTTAGCATACGTTTAAATAAAGTTAAACGAAAGTTATATATGAGAAAACTATTCTAATCTGGATTATTTTATTCAGGTAATAGATTCAAAAAGATTTATTACTTCAGACAGTTATGATCACGTCTACAGCATGAATCATTTGTAGTGGTAATCTTTTTTTGGCTTAGGATATTTATTTTAATGTTGACGTGGAATTGTAATTTTGTGGTTGTTACTACGTGTTATTGTACTTTGTAGCCGAGCGTTTATGTGTTTATAGATGAGTTGTTTGAAGGAACTCAATATACTCAATTTAGTAATATGAATAATATTGATTAGACATTTGTCCATCATATAGTCTATCTGAACTTACCATTAAGCCCCATTTCGTTCATGTAATTGGCATCAAGTCACACTTTAAGTTTGAAGGTTAGTGGCGGTAGCTGCAACTCATTAGTGATTAAAAATCGGACACCTTAACCATTCAGCCACCTCATGAGTAGCAACTGATAACCGATATTTCGTAATTTTGTGTAAATACCAAGTTTCATAAGAATGTAACAATACTCACGTTGTACTGCTTGCATTACGGTCGTATATGTATTGAATTCGGACTACTTAAAGTCCAAAATTAAGTGGTTTTTAATGATAGTTCTTGGAAATTTACAAACTATACACATTTCAGCAAGATGGTAATTTTTTGTATGTTCAGTTACAAAAACCATGTTAATTATTAGTTTTTGAAAAATTCTCTATTGATTTATCAGTTTCTTACAAGTGTTCATTAATAGTGACGTCGTTTGAGTTTCTCACCGCGTTGTGGGTTAAAAGAATGAAACGTCATGACCTAAGATTGATTTTACTTAGGAGTTATTAGTTTAATGTTTCTGAGTTAGTAGTGAGAGTTTTAACAGGAGCGAAAACCAACATTTTACTATCTCAGCTCTTACACTACTTTAGATAACTAGTTAAAGAAAAATCAAGGCAAGAGGGATAACAATTCTGAGAATTATAAATTTAAAGGTTTTCATTTTACCGCAGATCATATTCAAAACTGGATTAAATGGTCTCTTTTTAGCATATGAGTTCCTTAAAAGAATTCCTAGGTGTTTGACCTTTTAACTTTATTATAGGTTTTACTCAGTGAATAGTAATATTACTTATCGTATTTAAATGATCTGGTGAACAATGCGGTGGAATCTGAAGTGTCGAGTATCAGTTTTGAAAACCACCACTGGAATCCAAGTTCATTAATTCAAAGGATTTTAATTCGGTTATAATTCTAAATTTGGTTTGTAAATAGTGTGTAATTGTAATGCCACTTTAGAAACTAGTGTCTTGAATAAACCCTTAAACACGACTAAGAGAAATCTTATAATAAAAACTAAAAGTCAACGTAGTTTTCAATGTCAGTTGGTTTGATTAGAAAAACGCGGTTTTAACTGAACTACATATATTACTGTTTCAATTTACCTGTATTGTTTGTGCGTGTATATAAGTAATGAACTAAATACGTTTCTCTTTAGTCGAAATAAGAAATACAATCTCATTCATAAGTTAATTAAGTTTTAGGTGGAGTTTTGTTCTTTGAGCTGGGTGGTTTCGTCAGAGAACAAAATTCCAGTTAAATCATCCATCTGAGCTACAAATCTTCACCATCTCTAATTAAGTTTGACCGCTGTAGTCCAGGAAATGATCGAACTGAATATAAACTAATTTTTAAAAATGGTGTACAAAATTCCATCCATGAATATGGGCATATTTCAATTAACCGAGAGTCAAATATTAAAAATAAAATAAAGAGATTCACAAGCAGAATAGACAGAGAATAAGCTCAATATTTTAAATTTGTTAAATCGTCACTATTTAAACCAATGAAACAATATGTCCTTGATATTCATCATTTATTCAAGTTGCATAACTCACTTGAGTTGGGTGTGACCATTTTTGTTCAAATACACGAGATTCTTTTTCAAGATAATCGCCAACTAAAATGTATCAGTAAACAAAAACAAAATAGAAAAAATGGAAAACCATAATTTCAATGGTTAATGTGATAAATTAAAACAAAATATTTAAATAAACGATATTGTTTTCAATTAGATCTTCATCAGGCTTTACTCTAATATACAGTAATATTTATATGCATATATGAAATTATTAAAAAAATCAAAGCTGTTTATGAATTAATGATAACAGTGGAATAGATTACATAAATAAATACAATAAGTAAAGAATACAAGTCGTTAACATGATGATAGGTGTACTAGTTGTGATGAGACTAACAAAGCGCTGAATCCATGTTTCATCATGGAAAATAGGTCAATTACTTAAAAAATATAGATACTGGAATAACATTCATAAAATCTATAAGATTACGTAATGGGGAGTGTGTGGATAATTGAACAGTGAAGCGTATATTTAGAAAAAGAGGTGGGAGGGGTGATCGGCCGTTGTTGACCTCTAACCTATCATTGTCTACCTCATTATTTTGATTGTATCTCCCTTTGACTTGATTCTTCCTCCTATATTTGTCCATGATTTTTATTATTGGTTGATGGATTGGATCTATTTCAATGTGTTTATTGACTGCTGTTTGACCTGAGTGCCAAGCTTCTAAAAATTCCCTAGTGTTTTTGAAATTCCGGCTATCCATGATCTCAATATTCTTCCTGTCGAAAGTGTTTCCATAGTTGTCCACGTGCATTGATATAAGCATGGATAGGTCATGAAGTTTGACTGCTAATTGATGTTCGTGCGAACGAAGATGAAGAGGGCGTTCTTTTTCTCCGATGTAGTGTTGTACGGAATTGTATCAGTTTATTTTGTAGATGCTCGTTTTTTCTTATTTGTCACATCGTCTTTTGCCTTGCATAAGATTGATTGAAGTAATCTTGCCACTTTATGTGCTGCACACGTTCTAAACTGAATCAACAATACCATTGTAATTTCTGACATGTATTTTACACACGGTAGGATGATCGATTTGTCGGTTTCCATAATCGAATTTTGCTTTTGTTGATGAGTGGTATTGATATCGCTTGATGAATCTGTGTCAATAGCCACTCTTTTTAAAGGTAATCACTAGATGGATTTATTCGTATATGTTCCCGCCCTCCTGAATGTAGTTTGTACGCAGTTAATTTTGTGAATTCCGGGGTTGTCGCTACTATAAATGATTATTTGAGTGGGTTGGCTGCCAATATACTTGAGTTTCCAGCTTTTTTCGTAGGAGTTCTAGTGATTAGTATATTCAATGATGATAATTTGTTGTTCGAATGTTTTACCGAAGTGAATTTTATGTCATCAATGACATTGTTGATCAGATTGTAGGTGTTTTAATTTATTTTAATACATTAGTTTGTGGAAAAATTGTTTTCCATGATCTCCATTTTTATTCATTGGATCTGAATGAAAAAGGATATCCGCTTTGAAATGTTCACTAAAATTGATAAATCATACAAAAAAAACGTTTAACCGTTGGTTAAACAACCTCGGAAGTTTTTACACATTCTTATAATTTTAACTAAGACACTGTAAAGTTTACATTAAAAACAACAACTGAAAATCAAGTTCTTTTGACCTAAATTCCGCACACCCGTTGGCAATATATGTTCACAGAAGTGTCTGAAACCAGACCCAGGAAAAAAACACCTTGACGCTAGCTTATTACTATCAAACGTTGATATTATCACAAACTATTTCTTATTGAATAATGAGATTAACACCTCCAGCTTTAAAGCATCCGACATAAATTCGCTGTTGGTATTTGAAAAGAAATCGAATTCTGTGGTTTATTGTGATCTAACCGATTGTTTTCTTTCTTTTTTTCTCTTTAGAATGCAGTAATTTATGGTCATAAATTTTGTGAAATTATCTCAGTATTACTTTCAATTTCTAGTTGATTAATACAAGTTAAATGTTATTTTTATATTTTCAGAGAATGAACAACTGTTCAATGACCTTAGAAATTCAGTTGTTAAAATTACCATGGAGATTCGAACTGTTCCAATGTGAGGCCTAATTTTTACTTTAAATCTGTCAGTTTTTTTTACTATAATGTGCATTAACATTTTTTTTAAATCAAAAATTTATGTTACTTATTGAATGGTTTATCTTCAATTTCATTAAAAAAATATATTGTCTTATATATTATACTATTCTTTAGGTCATATTAGTTAAGGTGAATAATGGTAACCAGATTCGATTTGTTTTCTTTCCTCATTTCTTTTTTCTTAACATAAATGATAGAATTTTCCAGAACTCTGAATCATAATATCCGAATTGAGACTTAAAACAAGATAACTAGTGAGAATAAATGTGTTATCAGCAAAATTCAAAAATCAAATCGAAACCATTTTCATTGAATAGTCATTTAATCGTTTAAAATATAGTGAAAATGTTTTGTATTATAGTTTCAAATAAACAATATTTCTGTCAATCAATCCAAACAGAAATATGATTTACCTTTTTTTCTTTTTTTAATTAATAAATAATAAACAAAATGTAAACTAGATTAGTGTATTTCTTTTTTAAAAAAAACCCGAAAATAAACAAAAATAACCTTTGATAATGATTAAAACAAAATGTTCGCACAATAATTTGAAAATGTACTTTGAATAAGTTTTGTATTGATATGTTGAATGATTTCATATAGATTTAGTTGTTTAGTTGTTTCTGTTATTTCTGTTTAGTAGATCATGAAAGATAATGTTTATTATATGTTATAATAAGAAATTTCACTTAAAGAAACTAATGAAATTTGTTCAGAAAGTTTATATTTAACTAACCTTTTAAACTGATAGTATGTTTTGATTCATCTGTTTAGTTTACTCTTACACTAATCAGTAATTTATATTGAGTTAGGCGATCATCAGGCTTTCGGTAATATATGATCATTTGTGAAATCATCTTAAGGTGTCTCAAGATAAATGAATATATATGTTTAATCAGATCTGTCGTGAGATAGTAAATCACTGAAGACAATGGTGGATAAGTCGCTTAATTTCGTGAATTAGTTGATTTATTTATTTAAACATATAAACATTGGTACAAGGAGGCACCAAATATATATGCTCCACATAAATCATTCGATTTGTGTGAGGACTGGGATACTGCACAGGTGCCGAAAACGAAACGAGTGGTTCTCTTAAGAGGCCACACACGGATCATTCGACCTAAAGGTTTGATCCACAAGTCAGTGGAGCAAGGTCAAAAGGTGCAGTCTCATGGTAGACGGTGAACAACGATCGGTTCATATGCCATTTGTTTCCTCAGGATACATGGGTCCATGTGCACCATTGGTTTTGAATCAGGGTGTTCCAACTCCGCATTCGCTTTTCATCCTTTGAATTTCGTAAACAACAATAATGCCGTTTGATGGCAGTGAGTAGAGCTTCTCCAGCAGTGGTTGTATACACGTGTCCGTGTGAGTGCATTTCGAGAGGGAAAGCCGATTCTCCCCACTCCCGACTGTTCCAGGGCATTTGTGGGCATTGGTTGAAATTAGCATTAGCACCCTTTGATGCCGGCCATCTCAGTGGTCTAGAGCTTAAGCGCTCGCGCGCGAGACTGATAGGTCCTGGGTTTGAAACTCACGTGGCAGGATCGTGGATGCGCACTGCTAGGGAGTTTTACAATAGAACGAAACGGCCGTCCAGTACTTCCATGTTTTCCATAGTGATCTAGCTTCAATTGACTCATGATCTCTAACATTGAAATTACTACAGTATCCACAAAAACCCCTTCGAATATTTATGTGACATTCCTTGAAAAACTTTACTTAGTGTTCCACCTTTTGAAATTAGTGATAAGTGAAGATAGTTGAATTAAACGAAATATTACTAATGTTCAGTAGTTTTATAAATCATCGCCTACACAATTTTCAGATTTAGCTCACATATGTATACATTCAATAAATCAACGGATTATTTGTTGCACAATGGTTGACATTTGAATTGAGTTCCTATTCATGTCACAGGTTGTTATAATTGAGAGGAAGAATAACAGTCATAGTAAACCTATAAGTACTTTTCGATTGAAAAATGAAATTTTAATCTTCCCAATCAATGATCTTAACTCATGAAACAACTTTGTAAAGTCGATAGACCCTTGTAACTTAATAGATCTATGTGTTTTTGTTTTTTCGTAATCTATCAATGTTCATTTACAAGGGTTGAAGTAAATTCTATTAGAAAGAGATTATATGCTGTATAGAATGGAACAGAAGTTCGTTTTCTGGAATTTTAAAATACCTACTAGATTTCTGTAGTTTTGAAAATATTACTAATTTACTTCAACTAAAATATGATATTCAATTTGACCAAAATGTTACAGTTTGGAGGTTAAAACGGAAAAAACGTCCTCTTAGTACTGGAACTAACTTGGAACAAATTTTAGAACCTTCTAGTTAGTGGAATTCCATACTTGGCTGTTTTTAAAATTTAGTGAAACATATATGCTTTGTTCAATTACTGGTTTGTCAGGATTAGTTCATCTAAAGAGATTTCTTATTGACTGACATCAATAAGACAGCCGATGAGGGCCAGGGAGTCCTATCAGTCAGTCAGTCAGCTGCAACATAAGATCAGGCACATACATGCATCAGTTCAAGTTGCCATACCGCATTAACACAACATGATGAACACCGGATTCATAGAAGTAGTTAATTCAATGATGGTATTATATAAAAGAAAGATTACATATAACGATATAGTACAGGAAGAAAGAATTAATTCATAGAAAGAAAGATATGAAGCGATGTTAATCTCATAGTTTGAAAGAAGACAGAGAGTGTATACACCTACGCCATTGTGGTCGATTCTGAGCCATGTCACATAGAGTCTCCAAACATTGGTTACGATAGTGACGAGGACTTCAGCCAACTAGTCTGCATCTACCAACATGGTTCAGACTAGAAGTTAGTGACTTCAAGAACTGATGCCATGTTTTGATTTAGTCAACCCTAACTTTCTTCCAACCATCTCCAACATCGGTTAGCATCGCGCGTCGTGGTAATCGGTGTTCAGGCATACACAACACGTGTCCCAACCATCTTGGTCGATGAAGATTCATAACCTCATCAAATGATTTACCGTAAACAGTAAATGGGTACAGCCTGATTAGAAATCAGTCACCAGTCTCGTGACCGGAGTGATTCACTTAAACAATTGATTTCGAATTCATTAATTTATATTTTTAGTTAAACTGTTTCGCTAAGCAGATCAACAAAATCCAATAACAAAAACTGTATAACAGGCTTAACAACAATAAGTGGCTGATATTTCGAATTATTTATCTGTAGACATGTCTATAAACAACTGGGTGATTTATCATATTTCATGGGAAGATTTTATTTTTTTGTGAATTGTTTTCCCTGATCAAAGGAATTACACTTTTGTCAATGGATAATGTGAAATTTATTTATCATAGACAGATACAGACAAGTAATTTACCTTTATATATATTAGATATTTTCTATCAGATGATTAAATAGACAATAGGCTCTGTTAAATAAATTCTGTTTACAGTTGATTATAGTCAACTTATAATGGTTATACATTAATATAATGCTCAAAAGTCAATAGTTACTTTATTTTTCCTGAATATAAATAGGTTCCAGTCAATCATTATTATCAGACATAAAATGAAAGTTGAATGAACAAAAGAAACACTGTTATTATTATTATTATTATTATCATCATCATCATCTACAATTGAAAATGTAGAAATTACAGTACATTCATAGTATGCACAAACGTAGAGTAAAATGCTAAAAGAGATAATACACTGTATTATTGATTAATTTATGATAACAAAATCAACAAATTGAATATAAAAATTGTAGCTAGCTAGCAATTCTCGCAGTAAGAAAAAACAAGCAAACAAAATTTCATTGTGGATTTCATACATATTTACTTATAACTATAACAGCTGGTGAATAAAATCAACCATACAGGTTAGAAGAAAACATTTTATGAAATAGCTCTGATATTTGTGTTGTTTTTCTAAAATGTATTAAAGATACCTACTTATTTATCTTTTAATTTACTAATTAAAGGGTATATGGCGCCACAAGCCCACACACATATATATACACGGAACATTTGACTTAAATACGAGTATATAAACATGCAATTGATAAATTCAATACACTAAAACATAATACTTTCATTTCAGATTTTATGTCCAATCCCATTCTGCTGTTAGAATTATCTATAATCACTTAAAAATGTCTTTTTGTTACAGCAGATCAGTTAGTACATGCTTTACAGATTAAATGATGTAGAATCCAATGAACTAATTTCATATGATCAAATCTATTCCATTCAGTTCATTATTTCTATGAGCCTATTTTAAATACATTAAGATAAGATAATTAAATTAAACAAACGATTTTGTGTCGAAATATAATTTGTATTCAACCTATTTCATTTACATTGAAAAATTTATTGTGAAAAAAATACAGAACCAAAAAAATCTTTTTTGTCTTAGTCAAGCCTATTCACAGCTTGAAGTAAATGTATATATATAATCTTCGACATGTCGTCTTAATTCATCTAACATGATTTCACTAGATTAGCTAAAACATATTAGATCTAATCATATCGAGCTTTAAAAAAATTGGTAATTACAAGAGTATGTGCATTGAAGTGAGAAAGAAGTTTGAAAACCATATTGTATTATTTATACAAGCCACTGGCTATCTGGATTCAGTAGCTAAATGGACAATGTGATGGCGTTTGAAGTGTACGATACTGGGTCCAGTTCAACTCTGGTACATTTAACTGATGAGCTTCAAATAGGATGGAACTCACGTGTTGGACTCCACCGCTATCTACTATCTATCTATGCTTAATTTATTGTCTTATGAACTGATGATAGAAATATTAACACAGTTGAATATCCAATTCGGAAAGTAAACTAAAGATGTATGTAGAGTGTATTCATTTATTTATTTATTGTTTATTCTGAATAGCGGGGAAGAAATAACACTAAAACAAGAAGTCAGTTTACATGTTAGAATATTGTAAAGTAATTCTATTTACTTCTGTAACTCATTACATTTAATGATTCATCAGTATGAGGATTTGTGAAGATTGAAGTATTTTAACAGTTGAATTCATTAGTCGGTCTGAGCTAGACTGATTTGTCAATAATGTTGTACAGATTTCTGTTCAGCCTAGACAAAGATTGAAATTACGTTACAGATTAACATAATTTAATACTGTATAACATAAATATGTCCTTAGCATGTATTTACTTATGTTCACATTTTGTAAGGAGTAGATTTTCATTTTTTTGTTATTCTCCTTATGCAATCAAAATATAAACATTCATTTTATACATATAATTTAGTGTTGGGATACGATGGCCTATTATTGTTCTTATTAAGTTTTTGATTGAGATCAAGAACTGATTGATGTTAGGCCACCACTGAAAACCTGGAAGCACTGGACGGCCGTTCCAGTGAGCATCCACGAGCCCGCGAGCGGGAATCGAACCTAAGGCCTTCAGTCTCGCATGAGAACACCTAACCTCTAGACCACTGAGTCGGCATCAGCCAATACACGAAATTGCGTGAACATCTTTTATTGTGCTGAGGTAGATACCTGACACAGATTAGCTCCACTGATCACGGCTTCTCGCTAGAAATCCGAGAATTCACTCACGAAGCTAGTCACAAGTGAGCACATGATAATAATCAGTATAGGGTTGTGGAGATTATTAAGTATTTGATTGCGATCATGAACTGACTGATGTGAGAACACCATCTTATTAGTAACGTTGTTTGTTTTTATGAAAAATTAATTTAAACTAGCCAAACATTCACTATAATGCACATTATTTACAGCTAGATAAAATTCATTTCTTAACCTGTTAAAGTGATTAATGAGAAGAATTAAAAAGAAATTAAGTCATGCAGATCAATGAGTTGGACTTGTATCATGAAATGAGGTAAAGATGACATGTAATTTCAAGGAAATCTGAAAACGAAAGTAGCAAGAATTTTTACTTGAAGTCGGTCTAAGTTACTTTGCCGAACAAGATACTGTGCCTGTATGTACTCATTAGAGAAAAATTCAATAACATTGAATTCAAACATAATCAGTCCTGAACAGTGTAGAGCCTGACACGAACGTGTATCGATCGATGTTATCACAAATTAATCAGAAAATGTTAGGAAGATATAAAACAATTGCTTAGAAATACTAACATCGATGAACGGAAAAGTTAAACATAAATGACTAGTTGGAAAAGATCAGGTGAAACTGAAACATACGAAACACGAAACAAGATTTGGAGAAAGATTACGAATAGGTGGATTCATGACAGTGTCACCAGTGTTTATAACTGTAGAATAAAGTAGCTGGTTCATAATTAAAGAGTTTCCATCTACTAACATAGCTCAGATGATTAGTTAACAATTTCAAACATAACGTAGTTAGGACAGAGAAAATGAATAGCACTCATGTTCAAAATTAAAATGATCATACTGAGTCCTCACTCTTGTTACACATAAGATCATAAATCAAAGAATATGAATGTTGAACAAGTTCAAGTCAGAAATTCTTATTCTCTATGCATATCTTAAAGATCTTAGACACATGTTGTGTTTTATTGATCACTTTGAAAGTATGATTTCCATATGACTTTGCTACGTGAAAATGTTTACGCGTAATTATTCTTTCATTATTTGATAAATTTATTTTAGTTGTTAGAGATGAAGCTGCTGGTGATGAACTTGTGAAAAAATTTTGACACTGAAAATTTTTCATGACTAATAGTGATGTCTACTAATTAATTCGAGACTCCAGATTAATGATGTTTAACCAAGTTGGAAATAAGTCGGACATCTCTTATGCCATTGTATGATGATGTTATTGCACACTGATTAAATTAAGAAGTGTTTTTTTAAACTGATGCTGTTCCTCGTATTAAGTTCTATTATTGATTTTCTAGTTTTCTACTATGCCTGCTAGTATGGAATTTTAGAGAAAGTGTTCATTGTGCCTGTGAAACATTTATCGTAATAACCTTAGGGAATAAGTATTAAATATTCTATACTCCATTGCTATTTGTATTCAATCGGAATAGCTTCACCATACAAAAAGGCTGATTCAAACTAAACATATGATAAGGTCTTTGGACATATAGTTGTTTTCTACTTTCATAATCCATTATTTATATCCACAAATAAATTTAAAACCAATTTCTAACGATATACCTGCTGTTCTATAAACAGATGGACATCTTGAATCGAAAAGTAAAATAAATTAGACTAGAAAAATAATGTTATATTGTTCGTAAGTTTATGCATGGGACTGATGATAATGTGTTGTATCTGCATGGAAAAATGGACTATATATATATATATATATATATATATATATATATATATATATATATATATATTAATGATTATATGTATTGGCTCTTTTTTTCCAGAATATACTTAAGAATTTATTTTGTGACTTGTCGAAAATCGTTTAAAATTTTCATTTCTTCTACAAACAGTACAAAAAATGTTTCAGAGTAATACTACATCAGTACCATTTGATAAAGTGAAATACACCCATAGACATTTTTTCAGACTAAAATACCACCGTTTACATAAACAAATGTAAATGGAGAAATTCGAATGGTAATGTGCTTGTATTTAAAAAAAATCTTCGAAGTTTTCTTACCCATTAAATTTTCTTATTGTTAAAATTGAATGTGTTCAGCATCTGTTGAAATAGGCTTTTATAATATTAAAGAAGTTTTTCTATTATTCTACCATGGACACTAAATACATCTGACTATTTCGGTTAGCTTTGATATGATAATAATTGGAAGGAACACTGAGGAATCAATTAACCATCACAGAAAAACATAAAACGTCCAAGCTACATAACATACAACAAGATGATTAACTGGATGCAGGTACACCCAGCTGACGAGTCCCAAATAGGACGAAATGCGTGTCCTAGATTCCACACTTAACCACCATCCATCTTTGCTTAAAAGACGATCAACTTTCTTAAAAATATGGAAATCGCACATTTTCCAGCTACCTGAAAGCAGTGGATGGCTGTTTCGTCCTATTGTGGGACTCACGTGATTTGAACCTAGGACTTATCAGTCTCGCACGCGAATGCCTAACCTCTAGACCACTGAGATGGCTGGCGTCTAACGGTGATAATGTCTAACTTCAACTAATCTACGAAATTGAGCAGCACATCTACCATTGTTTTCAGTGAGTTACTATCTCACAGCTGACCAGGTTGAACTCCACTGGTAACTGTTTCTCACTAGAGCTCCAGGATATACATTTTGAAGGCAGTCTTTAGTGAGCATATGTTGGTTAGTATCATGATTTCAACTATCGTAATTACTACAATCTCCACAAAAGCCCTTCTGATACTAAATAATAACTGTTGTTTTTAGCATGGATTTGCAAGGGTATACCCTTATCAAACCTTTACAATAATCATAGAGGATTTGTTAGCAATTTACAGAGTAACCTAATCAAGTTTACAATTAAACTGATTTTTTAAAAATATTCATTTTCCTACACGGAAATAGCTTACTTACTTACTCATTTTGTATTAGCGATTTACGGAATAAATCACGTCAAAATGTTATCATGGTTTATTTCATTCCTAATTATAGTAAAAAACACTGGTCAGTTAGAAGAAGGGCTTGATTAGTGTCAATGAAACAAACGATGAAGGTGTATGATTCAATTTACATCTTTGGTGATAATTTATATTCAGCGTAAAAAACACTGTTAAATTACATTAACTGTGTGTGCATTCCCTGTACTTCCTCCACCAGTTCAGAATTCATCCATAAATTAACATGTTACATGTTCATATGTATAAATGCTGAAGATTCAAGTAAACAATACCAGGTAATATTAAACTTCATCCTCATCGCGCAAGCAAGTGGCTAACAGGACTCAGTAGCTAAGTGGATAACGTGCTGGCGCTTGAAGTGAACGGTACTCGTTCGAGTCCCCGAACAAATATCAACTCTGAAATGCAGGTACACCCAGCTGACGAGCCCCAAATAGGACGAAACGGGCATCCTGGAATAGTGTTGGTGATGGTTGGAAGAAAGTTAGGGATGACTAAATCAAAACATGGCATCAGTGCTTGAAGTCACTAACTTCTAGTCTGAACCATGCTGGTAGATGCAGACTAGTTGGTTGGGGTCCTCGTCACTATCGTAACCAATGGTTGGAGACTCTATGTGACATGGCTCAGAATCGACCACAATGGCGTAGGTGTATACACTCTCTGTCTTCTTTCAAACTATGAGATTAACATCGCTTCATATCTTTCTTTCTATGAATTAATTCTTTCTTCCTGTACTATATCGTTATATGTAATCTTTCTTTTATATAATACCATCATTGAATTAACTACTTCTATGAATCTGGTGTTCATCATGTTGTGTTAATGCGGTATGGCAACTTGGACTGATGCATATATGTGCCTGATCTTACGTTGCAGCTGACTGACTGACTGATTGACTGCTATTCATTATCCATCTTTGCTTAGAATGACTGTGAATTAGGGCAATATCGAGGAAATACTCACAGTATGCACACAAATCAATAAGAAAACGGATCATTTGCTCTTCTAAACATCAATGAGACGATTCAAGTAAACAATATCAACTGAAGATTATCTACACTAATTTATAACATATTCATAAACAACCAGATTAGAAATTATTGAACCATATGCCATCATTCCAATATTTACTGTCTGATCTGTTGTTGTCTTATCTGGTTTTCTTTATTTTAAAGTTTAACAAAGATCAAGACTACATTATTTATTCAATTATTTTATTGAAATATTAAAGTTAGTCTTAAATGTCAATTTTACTGATGTATGCAAAAACCTAATCAAAATCTTAATTGTTTTTGCCTACGTAATACTTTTATTGATTAATTTCCAGGATGAATTTACAAAAAAATGATGAATGCAAGGATAACGTATATGGTTATATCGAATAGAAAATATAAGATGAAAATAATATGTACATTAGGATGGTAGAATAATCAACAATTTATCAAATTAATTAATGGATGTATTTCGATATCAAACTGTGAATCAAGTTGAGATCATAGAATTATAGGGCGAGACTATAGTTTATGGATGAACCAATCAGATTTGCGATGACCGGTCTTTGATTTTGGCGTGAAATTCATTCACCCATTTGGCTAAATAGGGTTTTGTAATACTTATTTAGCCCTAGTAAGTAGATAGACACTCTCAAAGTCACTTTAGCGTCGGTCTAAGATCGTCCATGAACTATAGTCTCACCAAATATAGTACAATTTGTTGTAGGTTCA